GACAATGCATATTTATATTGAAACAAACTATGATAAAGGAAATTATTATATAACAAAGGGCAAGGTCACCAGAGTTCAACTATGTTTTTGTTTTAATGAATGGGCTTCTGGAGCCATATCTCTGACATGCTTTGACTGACTATGTTCAAATTTCATATATTCATTATACATCATGTCACAGATATACGGATATATTGGTTTGACGATCCTTTTCAAAGTGGCTAATGGTGGCTATTGTTGTGCTAAAAAACTTGTTTAATTTTTTAGATCGAATTCTGAATGGCTGACTAGTGGCCATTTTGTTTTAATGAATGGGCTTCTAGAGCCATATCTCTGACATGCTTTGACTGACTATGTTCAAATTTCATATATTCATTATACATATATTCATAATGGCTGATTTTGTTTTAATTAATGCTGTTCCAGAGCAATATCTCTCAATACGATCAGATACAAATGTCAATCATTTAAATGTTAAACAATCGTCATATTCCTGACATGTTGATATTCCAGCTATATTACTATAAACAAAACTTTATATCTTAAATTTGATAACTAACGGGGACTGTGCCATGCATGGCTTGTTATTATTAGCTCATTTAAATATTTCATGTTGTACCCACATTTATTTCATGCTAAGACCCCATAGCATGCATACAGTATATACACTAAGCATAGCATTATTACATTGTATATGTACATTTTATTTGCTTCTCAAAGAAATATGAGCTTAGAAAGGGTGGACACAATGTTTTCTCATAGTTCAGCAAGAGTTCTTCAAAGTTCCTTAAGGCTCCCTCGCCCCTAAGCTAAACCCCAATGTATCTATATATGCCTCTCCAGATAACTATAGTGTTCTGAAGAGGAGTATATACAATTAAAATGGGGAAGGGGCTCTTGAGGGTCAAAGTTAATTATAATTATGGGTTAGGGGGCCATAAGGAACTAAATCTTATCCAAAGTTCTGCCAGATGTAACCACACAGTTCAAACAAATAATTTTGTTTTTATATTGGATGAAGTTAACAACAAAAATATCCCATTAAATTTGTACTCTGTGAAATAAATATATATTAATGCAAAAAGGAATAACATTTTATAATTTTTGCAGTTCACCACTACAGTTGTATCTTCCATCCCAGCTCAACTAGATACTGGAGAAAAGAAACAAACAATCAGTGGATATGAAGTGATTTTGAAAGACACAATCTTGTTTCCAGAGGGAGGTGGACAAGTACGGACATTAATTTTGTTTCTGCCAACAATTCCAGATTGCTACAATTGAGTTGTCAAAACATGCAACATGGATATGGCTACTTTCAGCACAGATCATAACAACCAATTTTTCAAAACTTGCTGTAAGGATGTCGCTACCACCAAACAACTGGTTCACATTACTATCTATTCCTACCTGTGCTTGAAATAGTACAAAACAATTTCCTCCAAAAAACGCCTACTGTGATAATAAGAGTCAAACCAGTTAAGTCAACAGGTGAAATGCTTATTTCATCCTGATAGT